ACGCGTGTCCTCCACCTCCGATTCCATCGATTCACGACTCCCCTGGGTCCCGCGCAGTCGTCTCGTCCTCCGGTACTTATCCCCGGTTCTCTAGGAGAGAGGGGGGGGAGAGAGGTAGGGGGGGGGTTTAGGGTTAGGTACCGGTACTTATCTTGCAACCCCCTCAGTCGCCGCAGCTCCGGTCTTCCTCAATTCGCCAAAAGTTGATCGGGACGGGAATCCTGAGTCAAGATCTCTCTCCAGCAAATTGCCCTTAAGCGCCGAAAAGTTAATAGGTTTTGGTTATCTGAGGGAGGGTATATACAGCAGCAAGCAGCGCACGCTGAAGCTTGGGCTTGGGATAAAGGTGAGGGCAGGGCCTGGCCTGCCCTAGGCCCTCTCCATCCATACATATATATATGTGTGTGTGTGTGTGTGTGTGTGTGTGTGTGACGAGTTAATTCAGTACAGGAGCCATCAGCGGCGGGCTCAGCAGGCGGCCGGTGCAGTAGGAGATGTCCACCGCACGGGCGCGAGAGCCGGGGGTAGACATCCGCAGACGCCCGCAGGAGGCGATTGGTCGAGAGGCGAGACAGCGACTCAGCCAAGGCTCAGTGCGGCCTCGAATACCACGTGCTATCCAATTCACCCAGAGCCCCAGTTCCCATATTCTCCACTGCTACATATCTATCTGCATGAAGCATTGCTCGCATGAACAAACACCTTCTATTGGAGTGCCACAGAGGTTAACAGAAGAAACAAATTGAATTGTTGCTGAAAACAACTCTCAGAAGTCCATATTTCCGCCTATAGCACCAAGGCAGAAGGAGTGTTTATCACCGCCCATCGTTTCCGGTTTCCACTTAGATGGTCGACTGTCGCTGAAATAAAGAAAATGGGTACGAAACTGAAACAGAACAAGGGTCCAGTCAGAATACGAGGAAAGAGCGCCTCTGCTAAAGACACTCAAGGCGCCACATAAGCCCCAGCCATTCCTAAGAAAGCCCTGACGGATCAGGTCCCCTTTAGATGCTAAAAATGTGTGACTCGGTACACATTTCCTTGTCCGGTCATGATGCCATGCCTGCCTCCTCGCGCTGATCCATCCAGATTCAGTTGGACTTGAGCCAGGGTCGATGTCTTGCGCTGTTTTCGGATAGAACCGCTTGGTGTGTTTATTAGAAACTAGTAGTATGATAAAGCTGCGGGGTCCTTCTTCAGCTGCGCCATGGTCAGAGAGTCTCACGGAGAGGAATGTTTCCGTACCGGTCCTCACAAGGCTGAGATATGGAGTAGATAAGAGCCGCAAACCCCTTCCACCCTATGCGTCCTATTAGCATCCTAATCACAGGAAAGATGACCTCTCGACTCCCTATTGTCAGCAGAACAAATGTCGCCGGCTTTCCCAAGCCCTCAGGGACCAAACTCTCAACGAGCCGGTGCTTAACTCCGAGTGTTCCAAGCCCTTGCAATGTCGACGGTCCCTCCGAGGAGAATTATCCTATATTGTTGTACGACAAATACGTGTACTGGCCCCTTTCGTATGAGGATGGCCGCTTCTCTTTCGCTATCGTCCGTACCTCGAATATTTCGACCAAGCCGATTGATATGTTGGAGATCAAAGGCGCAAAATGCATTGATTCGATCGAACTCTCCCCCGGAAATGAGTCTGTCAGCTTCATCGGCCACGACAATAAGGCTGTCTCGGTTGCATTTAACGACCTTGCTGCCTCTCCGGTACTGCCCACCGCACAGTCGCCGCTCTCTTCTCTATCTTCGGCTCCTGTTTACGACACCTCCGACCTCGAAGATGATTTGGAGGTTGGTGCAATTGTAGGAATCGTTGTCGGGTCCGTCCTAGGGGCCATGATTACTGTTATTGGAAGCTATCTATACTGGCAAATGCTTCGACGGAAAAGAAGAGCGGTCTCACTCAGTGGTCGACAAAGGCTTTCGACGGAGGAGCTAAGAAATGGAGAACCAGACAGTAGAGATCGGTCTTCCCTTTTGGGTTATGGCAGGAGGGGATCATGCCGCCCGACAGATAGTCGTTCCATTGTTTCAAGCCATGGAAACCCCAGCAACATTCCGGATTATGGCACGCTTGTTCGTTCCGAAACTTTTAGTTCGATTGGTAGCAATCCTCTTGATGACGGGCCAGGAGACTCACATCAAAGTAACGGAAGTCGATAAAGGAAGAAAGGTGGAGACTATTTGAGATCATGTTTCCTTAATTATCATGGTCGCGGTTATTTTGTGCTCGATATTTGTGAATTGGCAATAAGTAATTTACGATTCACACTCCAATCTCTCGACAGTTTTGTTCAGGGTACCCAGCCACCACTGCGTCCACATGATGGTCTTTGCGTCATTGATGCTTCGGTCTAATGCTCTCTCCAATTTCTTTCGACACTCAAATGCCCGGCCCAAGAGAACTGTATGAAGCTCCTTATTCCCTACATAGAGTCCTATTTTCTCGCGGATGATAACTCTACGGGTTTCAAGTAGAACTTTTTCATACTTGGCCCGCTGCTCTCTTGATGTGTAACCGAATTCCCTTGATCTGGTAATAGCAGACATGATATGTTCCTCTGCTAAGTCGATATACTTCAGTTGCTTTTCCCTTGAATATGTCCTGCTGTGGGAAAGCTCGCGATATGATTCGGCAGCCCCGATATCGGCCCTAATGATGGCAGAGTGGTAGTGTGGGTGTGCCTCCTTAGCTTTTTCAATGGCTCTCCTGTGCGCCGTGATGGATCCCGTCAACAAGTCGTAGGTGCTGCCTTCCTTCTCCCTCGACCCTTTGTTAATCTCACCCGAAGATATTTTCCTCAGCTTCTCCTTGAATACGTAATACTTTTCGTAGCCCGTCTTTGCATATGCATCGGCCTGTGCATACCGCTCTTTGATTAATTTCACGCTTTTAGGACTCGGTAGCGTGTCGCCAAGATCCTCTGGCGCGTTTTCAACCTCCTTCTCGAGTGCATCCCAACTTTCAACATCTCTAAGTCTTTCGCAGATGTAAGACACCCAGAAAAACCTAGATTTGGCTTTTTTATGAATCATCTGCTTCAATCTCTGATGCAGCCCTGGGTTCCCATCTAAGCATGTTATATTTGCTAGCTCTTCATCAATGTACGGTTCAACAGCCGATGAAAGACCAGGTGACAATAGGTCGATCTCAAACATCCCTGTTGCTTTCTTGCTCCATTTGTTGTACCATTCTCTCATTTTTTCGCATTTGCTCTGGCTAGATATGAGCCAGTGAACGTTGGAGCATTCGAAGCTCGTACCTATTTTGATGAGTATTTTCTCCCATTCGTCTATCCTTTCATATTCATCATAAGCGTCTATGATGAGGTATACGGTGTGTTTGAGTGTTACTAGCATGTCTTTCAACCGATTTGAAAGAGCATAAACCGCATTGGGGTGCTTGTATTGGTATGATTCCGTGGGGCTTGTTTGGTAGTCTGGCCGAAGAGCCAACGCTGGATCACGTTCAAAGAGAACAGCTATCAGTCCTCGAAACACAGCCGTCGCGTCCTGAATTTTGAACGTATTGGTAGGAGCCTCGCAGAAGTAATAGCTTACAGTGGAAGCCTTAGGGGCGCCCTCGTCTCGTGTATCGAGCTCATCGATGATACCAGCTAGCAACATCGTTTTTCCAAAGCCAGCGTTCCCGTGAATCCAGAGAAGCTTACTATCTTTGTCATGACGCCAAGTGTTGAAAGTATTGTTGCTGAAGATCCATTTGCACCATCCCTGGTTCTTCGTCATATCGTATCCCTTCTGTTCTTGAATACGAGATTTGTCACACATAGGATCTGTGGCTTGTAGCCATTCAAGATGAGAGCCAACGCCAAAGGAGTACGAATCTAGAATCCCATCAGTCAGTACAGATAGGTACGGTAGGCTTAGCTTGAAGCCTCTAGAAAACTAGGCCGTGGAGACGCTTAGCGCCCATATTGAACTTACTAGCGTAAATGGTTGCGGAGTCTTTTGCGCTAATCACATTGCCTGGACCCGCAGAAATGATTTGGTCCCCTTGACCTAAGTGGCGGATGTGCGGGCCCATCCTCGGCACGTCCATCGGCGAGCTTTTGGGTGCCATCTCCTAGTTCAGTGAAGAAAGGTATCAATTGTGCAAGAGGGAACAATCGTTGAGCAGGAAGTCCGTGCGACACGAGTCGAAAGCTATCTCTCACAGTCCGCAGACGAGGCTAGCAATGAACATTGTGTAGGCGGGCGCACGCCCAAAATGGCCAACCCGAAAGTTATGCGGCTGAAATGGATTGTGGCCGCAGCAGGACATGCCGTGTCTTAGAAGATGAACCAGATGTATATTAGATATCTGCTGTTGCCTAAGTAGAAGTCGGGCCCATCTTTTGGAGCCCACTATTTCGCCAAAACCTGCCTCGCTCAGCACCAATCCATTTCACCTCGAGAGTGGCGCCAGTGGTTCGACTGACATCAGAGCTGAGCATGCCCTTCGTACATCCTCCAATCATATTGTAGAGGCATGCTCCATGAGAGGTTGAGGTTTCCTTTATGAGGGTTAAAAGAAACCTCCAATAAACCGTGCATGACTGTGCAACCCCATGCGCAGCTTCGTCTTGATACTGACTTGATTACACTCCACCGAATTACTGAAATGAGTAATTCAACGGCCTTCTGTGTTGGGAATCCCCACTTGTCTAGACTATCGGGTGAACCTTTAACCGTCTCAGCCTGGTGACCGGTGAGGGCAGCTTGATCGAACATAAGTTAGGGGTGGTTCACCTTTAACCGTCTCAGCCTGGTGACCGGTGAGGGCAGCTTGATCGAACATAAGTTAGGGGTGGTTCACCTTTAACAAGACGCAGAGCCTCATCTCTCAGCCTTGCAGATTTCATATTAAATTCGCCGTGCCATCCGGAAGATAAAGCAGTGACATTCCAGTGGTCGATCCTCAAAAATTTGACTATCTCCTTACAGCCTACTCTTGACCCTTCTGGTCTTCCTTTGCCCATTCTTGACAGCGAAATTTTGCTCGTCCACCGCTCTCACAAAGCGAGATTATTTTCAAGCTCATCCCTTCCATTTAGTTTCGCCCTGCTCCATAAAGAGATATCTCATCCATCATGGACGATCGCATAACGAGGGACAGCTTCAAGAAGTCATCGCACAACCTCAGACAAGTAGCTCAAGATCATGGTACGCTTGAAAAAGATTTGACTCTCCCGGCTGTATTTCAGCAAGCGGGTCCCTGGATTGCTCTCGCCGAGAAGATTATTCAGAGTGCTAGAATAGAACTGGATAAGAAGGACGCAAAGCCTGTTGGGACAGACCTCCGCCAGTGTTCGCAAACTTGCAGGGAAAAATCTGAGCTCCTCGAATTGGTCTTCGGTTATGTTGCTACCGCAGAAGCGCCAGCGAGAAGGAAGACTTACGCAGAAGCGGTGGCGCAAGATAAAGAAAGAGCAGTTGAGCTAGTCTTGGGCAGGATTCTGGGAGCCATAGCAGACGCAATAAAGTCCGGGTCCCTCGTTGCAAGCGATTCTCAAAACGCTGAATTAGGCGACGCCCTGAAAAAATTGTCGGGGATGGCTGCCAAAAACTCTGAAGGCGGACCAGGAATCAATTTCTACGGAATTGGCGACCAGATCACGAATCTTGCTGATGGAAAGATAAGTGTCGGCAAGGACCACGCTGTTCTGTATATTGGTGACAACGTAAACGTGGGTGTGGCACCAAGCAAACCCTGACACAATCCAACCGAGTATGTCCAACTTGCGGAACGATGAAAAAGAAAATAGAAAGTTAATCAATGACTCAGAGTTGATGTGAGGGCCACAAAGGGGTGTTGTGAGAGCATAAGATAGTATTTCACAGAAGCTGATGCTCTAGAAGAGTTGAAGGACACAGAAATAAAACTCTTGGCCAAGAAACGAATTTCTCAGAAGCCGATACGCGACGCTTCGTCCGATATGGCGAAAACTTGCGCGCTGCATTCCAACCAACGTCATTCTCAGAACTCAGTATGCTAGTGAGGAGGATAACCCAACATAGATAGTGCCTGCAGAATTCATTTGGCCGGCTCCCTTGTTGATATTCTGCGTCCCACTGCCAGTATTATTCATCTGGTCACCAACTCCCTGATATGTGAACACCGGTCCAGCGGGAGCAGAGGGTGGCACCCTGGACAACTCTTTGATAGCAGCCATCAGCTCGTCCATTTTGTCGTCTCCGACAGCTCTCACAGCATCGTGAGCTGCTAGCAAGTGAACATCCTCCAATAGACCCGTCATGAGTACCTCCACTGTGTTCTCTTTGCCGAGTCGGCGCACAGCAAGGCGATATTTCTCGATACGTGTAGCCTCAGACTGGGCGGCAACTTGCTCTAGAATGTCAGCAAGGCGCTCGGCTTTCTCCTTGCAACCCTTAATGACGATACTGATAGATTCGTTGGCGATCTTATCCAATCCGGTTTTGTTAAGGCGCGTTTCAATGGTTACGAGCGTGTCTTTAACAAGCGGCAGGCGCTGTGCTGCATCTTTAAATGCTCCAGGAAGGTGGCTAGTATTCTGGATGGCGGTGTACAGTTGTGCTGAAGCGTCGATGCAGGAGATAGTGGCCGAAATCAGCCCCATAACCTCGAAGCCTGACATGGTCGGCGAGCAACTATTTGGCTATGTTGGATAGAGATGGTGTTTTCTGAAAATATCTGTCTCAACTTCTCGTTCTTTCACGTAAAAAATGTGAAAAGAATTGGTGGCTTCGATGGATCCGATAACAGGCCCTAGGGAAGAAAAATGTAAGAAGAATGGTGTCGCGTACAGCTATCCGTCTATATATATCCTTCTGCTGTGCTAGCTGGGAGGTTGACCTTTTGGCAAACGCAACAGTCATAAGCGCAGTTTGCGGCGTAGTGTAGATGGTTAGCGCTTAAAAATTTGCGCACCCCTGCTCCACCAATAGGATCGCATTATCCCAGAGCACTGCGTGTTCAATTCCCACGCTTAGCAAAGAGCATTTATTTAGGCAGTGCGTCTATTACAGAGGCTACCTTACTAGATCTGTCTCTAAGTTCTATTGCTTAGGCTAGAGAGGGTGTATTAAGGTTGTTTTACTATGTTTTACCTCTCTTGTTCCACAGTTTAAGCTAGGGGGTGTGTCGCGTTGTCAGATTGAAGCACTGTTTCTGGGCTTCCTGAGATGAATAATGGGTTTGGATATGATGTATGGGATGATCATTCATTGTGTTGATTTATCGATCCTTTTTCTGCTCTACTCGTGTTGCTCGGCTTTTTGTTTTGCCGATCCGAGTCCCTCGCGCACTAGCCCTATGCGCGACCAGCTTGCAACATGCTGCAATTTGTTGCAAAATGTTGCAAAATGCTGCAATTTGCTGCAACATGCTGCAATTTGTTGCAAAATGCTGCAACATGCAGCAATTTGCAGCAACATACTGTTCGAGCTTATTGCTCGTACTATGTAGCAGCTTTCGTCAAGCGTTCCTCCTGTCTTGACAGTAGGTGCGCATATCTGACACGCGTACAGCTATCCGTCTATATATATCCTTCTGCTGTGCTAGCTGGGAGGTTAACCTTTTAGCAAACGCAACAGCTTGCCTAGTAGAATAATAGATAGTAGAAGCGCTTAGCTAGACATGTTAATATACTTAATTCTTATAACTTAGTTATAACTGCTAGACTATATAGCAACTACATAACTAATAGTGTTAGAGCTAGTTATAACCTTAGATATACTAGCAACTTTTATTATAAGTTTTATTTTATTAAAATTAACGTACTTTATAGGCGAGTTGCTTACACACCTAAGTTGCTTACTTTTGCTAAGACTACACCCTAACAAACTCTATTATAGCCTATAACAACCCGCTCTAGCACTATATAGTACAGTACAGCCTAGAATATTATTTAGATACTACTTCTGCTTCTTACTTACACATTTGTGTGTTATGCCTAGTCTAATTACACTATTTATAGCGCCTTTAGAATAGCTTACCTACTTTAGCTTATACTTGCTTCTTTACTTTCTTTTTATTACTACGTGCTTTAAACTTCTTTAGAGCTATTAATTATAGGCTTTTTTAAATTATTAAAGTTTTTTTTACCTTAATTTACTTTTTTTTATATAATTTATGTTATATTACAGCCTTATTAGCTACTTAAAGCTTAGTAATTTTCTATTACACTAACACTAGCTTATATGTAATTATTACAACTTTTTTTAACACCTTCTTAAACACCTTAACTATAAAAGTTAGTAAACTATTTATATGCTTTTAAATTTTTATTTTTATAAGCATTAATTATAACTTAAGTTTTAAAGTATTACTTAGAGTTTACAACTACTAAAGCTTATTATATATAAGTAGTAGTAGTAGTAATAAAGTGCATAACTTTACATTAAAGCCTATTATAACTTATTATAAGTTAAAAAGAACTAATCTAGCGCCTTAGAACTTTTTTAAATATTACTAAAAGTAATTATAGCATTATAAGCTACTTTAAAGCATAGTAGAAACTTTATTTTTATAATATAAATAATTTAGTTATATATAAGGTTTTTAGCTTAGCGCTTATACGCCTTTTTTAAAAAAGTAAAATAACTTACATTAAGTAGCTATAAAAAGTGTAATAAGTAAAAAGGCATAACGTACCTAACAGGTTAGCCGGCTACTTTTACTAAGCCTCTACTAAAACCACCCTATTCTAGCGCAAAACAGCCTACTTTAGCCCTATATAAAGCAATACAACATAAGATATTATTTAGAGTCTACTTCTACTACTTTCTTACATGTACGCAAGTTATGCCTAGTCTAATTGCACTGCCTATATTACCTTTAACTTAGCTTACCTTCTTTAGCGCATACTTATGTCTTTAGCTTTTTCCTATTACTACACGCTTTAAACTCTTTTAGAGTAGTTAGATAAGCTCTATTTTTAACTATTAAAGTCTTTTCTACTTAAATCTACTTCTTTTTATATAATTTATGTTATGTAGTAGCCTTATTTACTACTTAAAGCTTTATAATCTTCTTTTACACTAACACTAGCTTATATATAATAATTACTACCTTTTTTAAGACTTTTTTAAAGGCCTTTACTATAAATATTAGTAAGCTATTTACAAGCTTCTAAATTCTTACTTTTATAAGCATTAATTATAACTTAAATTTAAAAGTATTACTTAAGGTTTATAACTACTAGAGCTTATTATTAATAAGTAGTAGTAGTAATAGAGTACATAACTAGATATTAAAAGCTATTTTAACTTATTTTAAGTTAAATAGAACTAAACTAGCGCTTTAAAACCCTTCTTAGATATTACTAAAAGTAATTACTATATTATAAGTGTATATAAAGCATAGTAGGAACTTAAGTTTTATAATATAAGTAATTTAGTTATATATAAAATTTTTAGCTTAGCGCCTATACACTTTTTTTAAAGAGGTAAAACAACCTATATTAAGAAGCTATAGAAGGTGTAATAAGTATAAAAGCATATAAATAGTAATAATCTTATTCTTCTTATAGTACTACTAAAAATTAAGTAAGTTATAGCTTTTATAGCTATTAATAATAAAAAGCTAATAAGCGCTTATAACTTTTTTTTTATATACTTATTAAAGTGCTTTAACTACTGTAGCTTAAGCTTATTTATTATCTAGCTATTTTTAAAGACTATAATAACTTAGTTCTAAAGCAGATTTTTCTTTTTATACTAAGTAAAAAAGTAATAGCAGCCTTTAAAAATAATAAAAAGTAAAAGAGCTTACTTTATTATATTAATACTTTAAATAACTATTATTTATTTTCTATTACCTTACTATATTACCTTTAGCAGTCCTTGTTTTTTTAAAGCTATAATAACTACTTTAGTTAATATCTAGCTTATTATAAAGCCTAACTTATTAAAGTTATATATGTTTTTATTCTAAATACTGTACTTAGCTTTTATGTTAGCTACTAGGTAAAACTAGCCCTAGATAACCTCTAAATCTTTATAAAGCACTTTTTTATAATTATACTTATAATTAAACTTTATTATAAACTTAAGGTAGTGCTTAACTTACATACTAGGCTAGTTTAAGCTAACCTAGCCTAGATTATGCTCTCCGCGTAAGAAATTAGCTATATTAGCTATAGCTATAAGCTTAAAAAGAAATCTGTGTGTAATAAGCTTAAGTATATACTTAATAACTATCTTTTTTTTAAGCTTAGTTAGATTTTTTAATTTAGGCTAGCATTCTACTTTTAAAGGCTGTCTAGCGCGTTAATTACTTAGTAGTATGTAAAAAACATTATAAATAGCTATAGCATGTTATAAAAAAAGTTTTAAGTTTTATTTAAAAGCTTAAAAAGTAAGCTATATCTAATATTCTTTAGAAGATTTAATCTAGTGTTGTTGTTAAAGCATTATGTAGATAGGTAGAGTGTGGTAGAGGCTTGGCAAAAGTGGCTAGCCAACCTGTGTGGCCGGCCAACCTGTTAGGTACGTTATAAATAGTAATAATTTTATTATTTTTATAGTATTACTAAAAATAAAGTAAGTTATAGCTCTTATAGCTATTAATAACTAGTAGATAGTAGCTGCTAATAGTAAACTTCTTTATATGCGCGTTAAAGTACTTTAACTAGTCTAAACTAAGCTAATTAGTAGTCTAGCTACACTTAGAGACTATAATAACTTAATTTTAAAGTAGATTTTCTTTTTTATACTAGTTTAAAAAGTAATTACTACTCTAAAAGATAATAAAAAGTAGAATAGCTTACTTTTTAGCATTAATGCCCTAGATAGCTGTTATCTACTTCTAGTTACCTAGCTAGACTACTTTTAGCTGTCTTTATTTCTCTAAACTTATAATAACTGCTCTAGTAGATATTTAGCCTATTATAAACTTTATTTTATTAAAGTTGTACATATTATTATTTAAAATACTATACTTAGCTTTAATATTTTTTATAAAGTTAAACTAGCTTTAAATTACTATAAATTTTTTATAAAAAGCTTTTTTATAGTTATAGTTATACTTAAACTTTACTTTAAGCTTTAAGTAGCACTTAATAAATATATTAAGCTAGTTTATACTAACATAGCTTATATTATGCTTAGTGTATAAAAGATTAGCTATATTAGCTATAGCTGCTAGCTAGGGAGGAAATCCTTGCGCATTTAGCTTAAGTATGTGCTAAATAATTACCTACTTTTTATTATTATCTAGCTTTTATAAGTTAGCTATATAATTAGCTTAAAAAAGTTATTTAGTGTGTTAGTTACTTATTATCTTTTAAAAGACTTTATAGATAGCTGTAGTGTGTTGCTTAAAAAGTATTATATTTTATTTAAAAGCTTAAAGTGTAAGCTGCATTTAATGTTCTTTTAACACATTTAAGTAGTGTTATTAGAAATGCATTAGTATAAAAAAAGTAGTGTAATAGAGTCTTAGTAAAAGTAAGTAACTTAGGTGTGTAAGCAACTTGCTTGTAAAGTACGTTATAAGTACATTAAACTAGTATTTTATACATTTTGTGTGTGTTATTTTTAAGCTTAAACTAAGCGTTAACTTAACTAAATTCTAATAAAAAAGTGTGCTAATAGTGTAGCTTTTTATTCTACTTTCTATAAAGCTTTACCTAATTATTAGTAAAGCATAACACCTAGTTCTTACTTATAGGTTTAGAGGGGGGAATCTTAGCTATTGTAACGATTCTCATGAATCGTTCCATCGCAGGCATCCCGGAACCTCCGGAAGGCCCCTGTATCGGCCCCGACCCCGACCTGGCCCTGACTCCTGCTGTTACCTCTATTCCCTTATGTATTTAGTCGCACCTCGCCCCTGTAGCTAGCTTAGTAGTTTTCTAATATCC